CTTGCAATAAAATTGTATAGATACAAATCTCTCACGTAAGATTGCTGCCTAATAAAGGTGAAGATACCCTAACAAGCGGTAATAGATCTTAAAAGAATTATATAAACTATACAAATATGTGAACAGAGCATAAAACACGGCCTTGTTGCGTTCCTTCATTCGAGTTCACTTGGATACACCGGGTCAACATTATTTAGAATGCAACTACAGTGTATTCTTAATTGATAAAAAGCCATGGATATATTTTAATTGCCGGGCTGAAGGCAACAACAAGTGTATTTTTTCTGATGTACATGTAGATGCTTGAGAGCAATTTTGCTTCAAAGGAATATAGAAAGAAGTCGACTTACCATGGAGCACAATAAAGATTAATCAATTTTCATACAGTTTATTGGAATACCTCATCTCTAAAGTCTACATAAATGCTGCTTATGAAGAACTCAAGCCTTTTCCAGAATTGTTGTACGTAAAATCCGAGTAATTTTTAACCAAAAAAATGTTGTTGATGACCTATGTCATGTTTTTTCTTACTATGGGCACGAATTATAAATAAGAAAACGAATATTTCTCGTGCTCTAATACGAAACCAAATGATACAAATTGTGTGCATAAAAAACACAGACATCAGTAAAATAATATCCAGGATAAGTTGCCATGATGACGTAAGCACCTCCTTTTCATAATTAGAAATTAGGGAATTTATTGCTTTGTTTTTGTGATTAACATAAGTCTTATTCTTACCTGTAAGGTTAAGGTTTCTTCTAACAACCTCAGACCCCTTAGATACCACGCATGTGTAAATTCCTTTATCTGTTTCTGTCATCTCTACAAACGAAGGTGTATGTTAGGTAATAAAAATAATAAACAACGCTAATATTCTCAAGGACGTCTGCTACTTATCCATCAACAAATACTCTCACATTATTATTTAATTGAAGAATTCTTGCATTTTTGTTCATTTTTTCTTTTCTTTTAACTTTCTACAAAACTATTATTTGATTGAAGAATTCTTGAAAATATTTTGTGCTTTTTTTCTTTTCAATTTCTGCATTTCAATTTGGATCAATTTGAAAAAAAAACGAACTTGTGAAAAGTAGTTTTTTGAACCCAATGAAATATCTAGAATAAAGTGTTTTAGAGAAATCTAAGAGCATTTAAATTTTCCTGACATAATCATGTTTATAATATTAAAATGAAATTGAAGCTGTCTACCTTTCATTGATATTTCAGGCTTTTGATGCTATATTTTACATAACAACTGCAGTTAATAGAAATGAAGTTGCGCGTAAGTATGTAATCCTCTTTATTAAATTTCTGGATATCTTTAATTTCATTATACCAAAGCTAAACCTTTTTATAAGCATCTTCACTTGTTTAACTGCTGATCTGAATTTAGAACAATTTGTGTTTATTTCACGATATTTAACCATAACTTATTTGCAAACATTCAAGACTTTACTGACATACTCAATGTTTTGTCTAGAAATTAATTTTTTATTCGGTTTGTCTTATTAGAAGGTTTAATTAACTTAACGTATTTGTCATACTTTCAATCCTTAATGAAATCTGATGAAAAGAATAATATTGACACGTCATTTTTGAACTTACCATGAATATCAATGGTACAGTTTATAGCCTCGTGTAAAATATTATTACTGAATGTTCTATTCCATTTTAGACGATTTATTTCGTATTTGGGTTGAAATAACTTGGGCAATTGGCCAAGAATTTTAACTCTGTTTTTGCGTTGAAATATCCAATTGGCAGAAATATTTGAGGAATCAAGGAAGTGTAGATCAGGTATTCCATACACAATACATCTAATGAAGAAGTTCTTTCCCTCTGTTACTTGTCTAACATTAGTAACTACTTCAACTGGAATTGATTGATTGATTGTTTATTGTTTAACGTCCCTCTCGAGAGTTTTTCACTCATATGGAGACGCCACCACTTGCCGGTGAAGGGCTACAAATTTTGTCCTATGCTCGGCACTCAGGGCCTTTGAGCAGTGAGGGATCTTTTTCGTGCCAGCACCTACTGCGACACGGGGCCTCGGTTTATACGGTCTCATCCGAAGGACCGGTCTCCACGTCCCGCAGTGGGATTCCAACCCGCGACGTAAGGATTGACTCCTTACTTTGCGACTCTAGAGCAGACGCTCTGACCACTGCGCCACGCGGGCGACCAACTGGAATTGAAAGTAAAGCATTTGGAGGCTACACTTATACATTTGACAATTTTACTTTTAAATTTCATATTTTTTTTTCTTACTTGCAAATTTGTAATAAAACAATAATAATAGCTATAATGTAGGTATTGCCAATTACACCGGAGCATGTTTAACTGTCTTTGAATACAAAGTTATCTCACACAATTTAAAGTAATACAATCTTGAATGCATATTATTTATAAATGCTTTATATTTCTTCAGTTGAAATATCAATGTGTAAAGAAACCAAACTATTTACTTTTTAATATACTAGAATGCACATAGATTAAAATGTTGGGTGTATTTTAGATATCATCTTCCGATTAGGCATTTTTTTCTCAATAAAAAGATAGGAAACAAGGAATTACATGTACGTTTAACATCTAGTGCTGGCAACATATTAAATTTGAAACTCTACACAAATCAATTTTCAACAGTCACTTTTTTTCTAATTATAAAATTATTTTGACAAACTTTTTTCAAATGATTTTGCTCAGAGGCAATGGATGTCATGAATGACACATTATAGTGTCATCATTGATGTACGTACATGTAAGCATTAATGAAACGAGCGTAATTTTGAATTTTATATGAAATAACACTGATGAAAATCAATTAAAGACATTCTATCACAAAATTATTGACACACAAAGGATTATATAATTATCAAGAATAAATCTGATACACTCATAACTTATTTACGGTATTTATTTATATAATGAACATTTTATTACTACAAAAATGGAGGACCTTGCTTCAATTTCTGAAAGCTCGACTTTCATAAAATGTAAAATTCCTATTGGCCACACCCAAGTACCTCCAATATATTTTGCATAAGGGTGTATGCATGTAATGTTTTTATCCATACAAAGTTTAGAAAGGGTACTTGAGTGTGGCCACATTCAAATTTCGAAATAACTGCCGTAAAATCAGAACAATGAGCCAAAAAATTATGTGTAGGGTACAATCTCATTGTGCTGTACAAAATAATACATCATAGGCTTTGTGATTTCAAACAAATTTTGTCCAAAATTTGAGGCAGATATGGATGGCTTCTGGCTTTAGCTCTTTAGACGGGAAATAGGATGAAGAAGAAATGGGATCTTGACAACATTCACGTGGGGCTCGCAAAGGTTCTATCTTACGAATTTGTTAATACATGCTTTCATTTCTCGTATCTCCATGGCTTTCAAAGAAAAACACAGTGTTAACTCAACATAAAAATGCACTTATGAACTATAAAAATTATTAGCATTTGCAGTGCAAATTGTATTGCAACTGCAGAAAGATATTTTGTTTGACATTTTGATGCGATGACGTATGAATTGGTGGATTTTTCCTTTCCTGCGCCCCAATACACAAAACGTCAACATTTATTTCTAGTCATGTTCAATTCGTCTGAATGCAGTCTAAAATGTTAACTATTTTTAAAATTTATCGGAGAGTTAAGAAATTTTGGATCTGTGAATTGCTTTTACCTAATAAACCCTACAATCTATACACATGTCATTTTAGAATTCACGTGGTACAAGTAAACAGATCTAAGTTGTACGACCCTTGATTTCCGGCAGATTCTAATTACGTTAATTTTATTTGAGGAGAGAATATGTGTTTTTTCTCAAAATGCTTACTTCAATTTTTTACCTTATTCCTGAATGATATATTGGGTAAAGTTTAATGAAAAAGCAAAATATTTGCAGCCGTATTGCCACTTTAATCAACCTGTTTATTTTATCCACCCATCTAATCATTTATGGGCTTGTCTTTTGACCCCCCCCCCTCCAAAAAACGAAATAGTTTTGTCACATTAAAAAGGGCGATTTAATGAGGTTTAATGGACAGTTATAAACGGTCAGATAACTGATAAAATATACAGGCTGGTGAAAGTATTTTTCAAATAAGGAAAGGACAGATGTTTTATTGACCAATGCAGGGAAGTAGAGAAATATATATTCCTAACTGTGCGCAAAACATATTGCGCCGTAAACTGAACAACATTTTCCTTAGGGGATGTGTAACATTATCACACCCTCTCAAATATCAAATATATATATCAATATAACGTTAAGGTTTCCGAAGCTAGGTTATGAACTTCAAACTGCTTAAAGTGAGTTCGAACTTTGATTGTTCTTTTACATGTATGAAGTTGATCTGTCAAGACCTTCAAAGTTAATGAAATCAAAATAAATCATAATACTTTGTTCTCCAATTCATTGATATGGCGATTAAATGCAGCATTTTCCAAACAAAAACAAAATACATGGTCAAGTGAGAAGAAATGTTTGTTTTGAAAATACGTCTACGTAAATAAACAACACACATGTATGGAGACGATTGGTTGATGGAGTTATACATTATGATAGACTGATGGAATTCTATACCACTTCTCCCCAGTTAGCTGACCTTTCACGGAGATCAGTTAAAATTCATGGAGAGTATAAACATTTCCTTATAGACTTGATAATATCATATGATTATCAACAGGAAGACAATAATATAAAAGCAAACATTTAATTATATAGAAAGATTTAATGCGATTTTCTTGTTTTATGAAGTAAAGTTACATGTATAACACTATTTTAGAACATAATACATACTTGGACTTTACAAGGAATTCATTACACATAATATTATATCTATACAAGTGTTACTTTGTAATATATCGCCCATACCATCATTTTCTCAAGAATAAAGTCATAATAATTTATAATCAAAAATTTTGACTTTACATAAGATATGTGAACAACTATGAAATAAAAATGGATTAAATATGGATAAAAGATATAAAAAGTCAGTGAGGTTTAATCATCATGAGGGTTTCATTTATCTGTTTACTATCAGTAACTGTGGGATACCATGGTCTGAACCAGGACCCCGGGGACCAGCGACCGTTAAGAAAGGCGTTGTTACAGCGGTTGAACCACCAGCCTCCTCTACGGTGACTAAAAGAAGCACAGTTATCCCGAGCTCCGTCGTTATCTCTGGCTGGGGTGGTGAAGCCCATCCCAGACAGATCGTAGTCAAAAACACCAGTGTCTAACATAGCGACACCTGTAGAATAATCAAATTAAAATATTACATGGACATCTATTTCAGACAAGATTATTATTATTTACTTAACAAATAAAAGGTAAAAGCATCTATAGTATTCAGCAATAAAACCTTTTTTAGAATTACTTCAAATTGCAATAGCTGAACACTGTTTTCATTTAATATTCAACGTTGTTTTCCTGTTGTCATTTTCATTTCTTATTTGACTGTATACGAACATGTTGATGAGTCTCAACAGAAATAAAAGATTGATTGATTGATTGAATGTATGTAGTTTAGCGTCCCTCTCGAACATTTTTCACTCATATGCTGACTCCATCACTTGCCGGTTGTGAACTACAAATTTTGTTTTATAATACATGTTTTACACGGCAACTGAGCAGTTCGCTATGTTTTTCGTGCCAGCATCTACTACGACACTGGACCTTGATTTATACGATCTCATCCGAAGGACCAGTCTGCACGCACGACAGTGGGATATGAACCCGCAAAGTAAAGATTCCTTACTTCGCGGCTCTAACCACCCCGCCACGCGGGTGACCTCAATAAATTTAATTATTATTTCATTCATGTGAAACCTCTTTTAACATTAAATGGGTATGCCTATATACGTACATATAAAGAAGGGATATTCAAAATAATAATAATTTCGTGAGCCAATAAATTGATATAACATTAGAAAATAACGGTTTGATTTTTTTCTCTTCTTTTTTTTTTTTAGGGGGGGGGGTGCACTTCTTTAAGTTAACAGTACAGGAAACAATAGCTTTTCTTCCATTTTATCAACACATTAATCATTAGAATTCTTCAAATTTGTGCGGCTACACGTAGATGTAATTTGTGTAATTAACTTCTTCCTTTATTGTTGTATTGCTTTTGTTAAGTCTACTATTTACCTCTTCAACACAAAATCGGGTTAATTACAACAAGTCCTCGTTATCGACTGTAAGTAATTACATTTCCAATGCAAGTTGTTTTTTTTAATTCAATGATCGTTTAACACCTTAATTGATTTCTCTGTATGAGTTATGTATCTGACAACATTACGTACAAGTACGCATGTAGTGTTTATGACGTGAAAATGTTCAGTCTTTTGGCAATTTATTACTGATTGGCTCATATAGTATGGACTCTTGATTTTCAATACAAGGAAAGTTTTACTTTCAAAATATTGATATCCACACATCCCCCCTCCATTAATTACGTAACTATAGGGTTGATTCTCACAGAAAGAATTGGTATTTGTCTATCTGTCACAAAAATTAAACTCTTTCTCCCTTTCTCCCCTTATGGTCGTCATTCGTACATTTCTTTTTCCGTTTACCTACCGAGGGTTCCGGTAGCTGGTCCTCCAAGAAAAAGTCTGTATTTGTTGATTTCGTCACCAACAGAGAACTGGTTGTATAATTCATAGAGCTTTGTTCCATTAGTCAGTGTGATTGATAGGTAGAGGGAGGAGTTCCTTCCCTTGGTTAGTTGATGTATTACGTCATTTCCTTAAATATTTATCGTCGTGTAATATATAAAGAATTAATAAAGCAAAACACATTTTTTATTTTGTAATAATTTAACACATGATTATTAAGGTATACAGAAATATGTAATTGTGTAGTGCATGCGGCAATGAACGTACATGTTTTGAAATCAAAGTAGGGAAATCATTATATATTGTATTTCACAAAAATTATAAACTTCATTTTAAGTGATAAAAAAATTAAATGCTAATTTAAACCGTTAATAATCAGAAGAATTATCTTCCCCTAAAACAACATAAAATATTACACAGTTATAGAATGGGTACAATGTAAATAGCAAATTAATGGTTCCCCGAGGGAGGGGAATATTTCTTTTACCAATCCAGTAGGATCCGTTAGCATTCCCGAATCCAGTCTTGTAGTCCGTCCAGACTCTGTTGAATGTCACTAACCACTGACACGTTTCTGGATAGCCTAAGGATTTATGATTTATGTCGGGTTTACAAAAGAAAGTAGTGAAGTTAAATTTTTTAAAGTTATGATTTAAACACAAAAGATTCATATATAAGTCTTCTTTAATTATATTAATACCAACAACTATTTAAAGTTGAAAAAAATAACTTTGTTATCAAATTATGATACATAATTTTTTTCTACTTTGTAATCAATATATTTATTTCGGAATTTTATTATCCTCCTGTAAACAAGGCTAAAAAATAGTTCAATGTTAATTCAGCCAAAAGATTTGATAGTAGGTTTAAAATCAAAGATCAATAAATTACTAAGGAAATATTAGGTGCAATTTATGGTTGTAGAGAGAGAGAGAGAGAGAGAGAGAGAGAGCACTCGCGCTCACCGACTTGTGGGGAACTCACACCTGACAAAGGACCTTTCTTATGGGGAAAGTTCAGAATTGTGGGGAACTCTCTCGTTCCCCACAAATATGGTCATGGGGTTTTTTGAATTCTACGTGTTCTACTGATAATATTTATTCGATTTGTGGTCATTTTTGAAAAAATCCCCATAAGTCCGTAAAATTGACTCGCAGTAATTTTCTCACTGCACCGTAAAACGAATGTTTGAGGATGCTGGGAAATGTTCATTCGGAACGCAGCGGAATTTAAACTGGTCCCCATATGATACCAATTTATTGCGGGCAATGGCTGCTCCGAGAATATGTGGTAAGTAGATTTTTTATCATATTTTAAAGATATTATAGGCTGAAAACTTAATTTAACTACGTAAATCATGCATGCAGTTATTTCTTACAGACGTTCGTAAAGTAACATTTAATAATGAATGCTCGTAAAACTTTGGGAAAGTTTGACCCGACCTAGACCTCGGTTACTTTTTTTTTAATTGTATCATGTTTAAAGGCCTAATGGCTATCCTGTAAGAACAAACTACGGATTTATATGAATTCAGCACCCCCGGGATATGGTAAGCGTTTAAGGCTTGTCCCCATTTTTTGTGAAACGCGACTATCCTCCTCATGCCCATACAAATTATGCTAGACGGTGCGACTGTCTGGTCTTTAGCTGTTTAGTGAGGCCTGTGTGGGCGAATTAATTGTAAAAGTTAATCTGACTTAAACTGTGCGTGTATTTATAAACGATGTCAGTCACACACTGACTCAGTATCAGAAATGTATCACAGAGAACTCCACCTTTTCAAAAGGTCCATTGAAATCAGTACATTTACAGATTTACGTAGCTAAAATTTCTTAGCTTGGTTAGATTATTTAACATGTTTAATTCTTCCAAAAAAAGCTTGATTTAGCTATCGTTTTTTATCAAGTCATTCTTCCTACTTGTATATATTTATTCGCATGCATTGGTTTGCATAGTGTCCATTTGCCTTCATTATCTTTCACCTGCACCCTGTTCTACATTCATCCTGATTGCCCTACTGAAAATATTTTCATGATTTTAGACCATCATTATCGATGTATCATAAGTATTTTTTTTTTATTTTGCTAAGGCCAAGATAAATAGATAGTGTTTCCTATTTTAACCTTAGAAAAGATAGGGTAGGTAGGTAGGAAAAACATTTTTATTTTATTTTAACATTTTATTGGCAGGCACGCTGCCACTTTCCCCCAGGATTTCACTGTCAAAATATTTCTGATTAATATGTGTAAGATATGCATTTCTCAAACATGGAAGTGATCAAGATTGGGATTTCATTTCTAATTGTAAACTGGAATTCCGAATACTGTAATATGTGTATATAATTTGGTGCTTTCAAAATTTAGCATAATCACTGGGTTGGCATAATCACAAATTAGCGCTACACATGTATGTGCGGTGTATTGTATATATCAATATGTAAATGATTTCTTAGCAGTATTCATGAATTAGTGCATTGTTGTCTGCACCAAAGCCGCTAAAATATGAAGCCTGCATTTTAAAGTATACATACAGTAGTTTACTCATGGAAAGATATTAGCAGAAAAATATTGAGGGCCGGCTCCTATACTTCTTAGAGTTAGGCGGGGAACTGAACATGCTGAAAACACACTACTTATTTATTTAGGCCCAATTAAAATGTCTAATAAATTCATTTTAATTAAATACTTATTGTTAATTAAAGATCACCTTTTATTTTTAAAATTTGTTACAATTCAAACCTTGGCCTTGGGGTTTAGATGCTGATGGAATAAATAAGAAACAAAATCATATGTAAAAAATAACTAAAAATCCTCTTCAAAACCTCAATTACTAATGAATTATGATTGGGCGTGGTATACAAAATAATGCGAATTGGAGGAAATGGAGAAACATAGTAAGGCCAGGTAAAATTAATCTTTAGATTCTCATCCTAATTTGCAAAAAAATTGGGGCGGGTGGGCGGATTTTATTTTTTATTTTTTATAATTGTTGATTTATAGGCCTAAGTATCAACAAAACAATGGACGCCCCGTACACATTTTTTTCATTACCTTAATGCAAATATGAATATATTTAATTCTTTTCATATTCTTTTAGATATTTAAAGAAAATTTTTGCTTTAAAAGTTAAATATTTATTGTTAATTAACAAATTATCAAGTACACATTATACGGCACACCCTGAACAAAATGAGGTGGGGATACCAATAAATTGTGTATGCGTGACTTCTTATTTTGCAAAATCTATATAAATGTTCTAATAATTATTCTACTGAAAAATCTAGGCCTTCTCTTAAGTCTGTCTACGATGTTGTAGATTTTTTTTTATTTCAAAGCTAAGTCACACAGCTGGAGATCGTTATATATAACTTGACCAGGTGTCATTTTCCTCGGTCTATTTTTACTTAGTTACAATCTCTCTACATACTTGCTCCTGCCAGTGATGGTATCTATATGTGTTTATGCTATTTTTTCTTCTCTGCCTTCTCTATACTGACAAATTATCTTTTCCTTACACATTTAAACTGCTTTTATTGCCGATTTTTCTCCATTCTTCAATTGGCGTTTTTGCTATGAATAGCGACACGCGACTTTTAACACAGACGGGAGATAACTTTTAAACTTTGACCCAAATTCTTACTGAATAAAAATACATGAAAATACTCAAAAAATCAGAATAAAATACATCGGGGCGGGACATTTTGAGAGGGGCGGGCGGGGATGAGAATCTAAAGATTAATTTTATATGGCCTAATAACAATTAGATCAGCTTTTATGATAGCGAGCATATTAAAAATTTAAAATTGGTTATAAAATTGAAAGGTAATGTTGAGATTTTAAGATTCAATATTTATTATTCATAATTATTTATATTTGCTTAACTGAATGTATACCTTTTCAAATTTATTTACATATAACGATCGCGCTCAAAGTTTTGGGTCTGATAATGCTTCCTGATTCCTGATGGTCTTTCATTTTTTTTTTGAAGAAAACCATTTGATTTCTGCACCCACTCCTCCTTTCTAAAAATTTTTAATCTGCCTCTGGTAACTTTACGCTGTAAATTTCTATTCTCATTTTAATTAAATTTAAATAAATTCTAACAGCACTATCATGCAATTTCAATGACTATCATTTAAGGTATTGATTCAGTTTTCTGTCATTCCTAAAAATAAGTTGTACTGTATCGTTGATTTTTTGCATATAAAACAGTTTCTGCTCATCAAACATCCACGAGAAAGTGTTCTGTTTCGCAGTTATTGTACGGTTGATTTAAAAGGGAAAGCTCTCTGGGCCATGTCACAAGAAGGAAAAAAGTAAAATATTTTTCATACCTACCTATCCACTGTTAACAATATGGTTCAGGAAAGGGCATACATTAAGTCTTAATTTTGGCATGCCGCATGGGGTCAAAAATTACTATTGAGTGATGTGGAGATATACTTGTCTTGAAATTATAGGTAAAAATATGAACACTTTAAAAAAAATATACAATGAAATCTTTGAACTGAAAGCAAAATTATCATTGCAGGTTTTCGGGTTTTCACCACAAGAGCAAATTATACAACTTTATTCTTGAAAATGTTAGAGACTGAGACTTGGAGTCAAAGTCAACAGACACGCTTGCATGGACATGAAGGATGTAAAGAACTAGAGTATTATAACTGAAAGCATTTTGTCTGGATTTGTGTATGGAAACAGAAGGATTTAGTATTGGTAAGTCAAGATAGCTGTAAAATCTCATTTTGAACTCAGGTAGTACACATGTACCCTATTTGTGTCATCTTTTATTTGCATATCTAATCTGTGTTGATTAATTTCCGTGACTAATGAAAGGAAACATTCTCTACAAATATAAAGCAAAATTAATAGTTCAGGGCAATTAATAATTTACTATTCACTAGTAAATGTAGGTCATGAAACTGGCGAATATTTCTTGCACTCAAATAAAAGTTGGTTTACAGTACTTCTGTTGCCCTAAAAACAGAAATAATAAAAAAAAAAGCATACTGATATCATGTATGTTATGAAGCCTAATACATGTACATAGAAGTATATAAACCGGTATATCTAAAATTAAAAAAAAGATTTTGGTCCTTGTTCATGATTTCAAAGTAGGTTAAAAGCCTCATGAACATGCTGAGAAGTTGTCAGAAAATATACATGTGTGCTAACCATGCTAGCTGTGTAACAATAATCAGAAAATTTTACAAAATATAATCAAAATTTGGTTAATAATAATTAGTCATTGGCCAATTAAATCCATCAATGATTAAATTAGTACTTATATATACTGTCTCCTGATTTTATGACTTTTTATCCTTTTCAACATACTTATTATTTTTGAATTGAAAACATTTTTTTTACCTGAGAAAATTAAAATTTGCAATTTGTTTTAAATCTAGTGAAGGAAAACAAATGTTTTTAAAATTAATGTGCTTTGATTTTAAAGACTTGTAAACATTAGATTAGTAATACATGTAGTTTCAATACATTTATTAATATTGATGATTGATTTTTTTTAAGATTTGATAGTTTTTTTTCAATTTGTTGAAAAATAATTTTTATCTGTAATGTTCTTGTATAATAAAATTATAATGCTCCAAATAAGTGATAAATGTTTCCCACAAGTCAGCAATATACACTGAAGTGTACATTTATTGGTTGGGTTCAAAGGCAACATTTATATGGAAACAAATTTTTAAGGGTAACGCAATGGTCAATACATGTGTATTCCTCACAAGTGAACAGTGAGAAATATTCCCCACAAGTCAGCAATGATAAATATAACCTACGTGAGAAATATTCCCCACAAGTCAGCAGTGATAAATATTCCCCACAAGTCACCAATGAAAAGTATTACAAGTTAACAGTGAGAAATATTCCTCACAAGTCAGCAGTGATAAATATTCCCCACAAGTCAGCAATGAAAAGTATTACAAGTTAACAGTGAGAAATATTCCCCACAAGTCAGCAGTGAGAAATATTCCCCACAAGTCAACAATGAAAAGTATTACAAGTTAACAGTGAGAAATATTCCCCACAAGTCAGCAATGATAAGTATTACCTACAAGTCAACTGTGAGGAATATTCAATAACAACATACAATTATTTTAACCCATTCTCAATCAAATTTGGGGAGTATATTGGAATTAGCATGTCTGTCTATCTTTCTATAGGCATTACATATTGAGGGATAATGGTGGCATTAATTTTTTAGGAAATCTCGCATCAACTTCCTGTTTATCTGTGCGTGTAAATTTTTATGTTTTTTTTTTCAGCAACTACTATGGTAGCAAGAAGTTTGAAATTTTTTAACACTCTTTGTCGAGGCATATTATATACCGGTAGTGAGATTCATTTTTATGCAAATTCGATGTCAACTTCCTATATATCCACGAGTCTCGAGATCTGTACGCAATTTTTGTTGCAGTTTTTTCACCAACTGACTATCACAGATATAAAAATGTGGTACATGTATCCATTAGATTGAACCCTAGCAATAAAAATCCTGAGTAGCATTCTCTACTGAGACTAGCAAGCTAACCACTATGCTACACAAGTCCTGATGAGGATTGGCATTTAAATCATGTTTGTGATATGACCATTGACTCAGTGGACTTCAAGTTTTTCTCGAAAAGATACAAAAGTTATATCATAAAATTATAATTTTTTAAAAGGTTTAGTGGGTTTTTACTCCATAATTTTGGAAATCAAAATAGTATATTTCATTTTGTATGCAAACTTTGAGGATAAACTTGAAAAAAAAAGTGGAGTGAATACCCACTCATACATTTCAAAACATTGTTTTAAAAAGTGTGTAGTGTTGTTTAGTCGCTGACTATCGAAAAATCGTCGTTTAAAGGCCCAGATTGGTGACAATCGATTGTAAATATTATCATCGATAGATCGCTATATTTTTCAAGCCG